TGGCATTTGCTTCTGAGTCTGTGTCTCTTTCCCCTAACTATATTTTAGGCCTTTGAGGGCAAACACTCTGTTTTGTACTTACCATGACCTTACGTTTTGGACTCTGTGGAATAATTGTATTTCAGATTTTTCTCCTAATACCAGAAAACAGGCCCTTATTTTTGATTCAGAACATATGCCTATTCCTTGAACCTTTGCACCTCGCACAGAGATCTAGCAAATTGTTAAAGGCACTGAATAGACACTTGTTTTATTTTCTTCATTGAACTTTTGTACAACTGTATTTATACTTCTCCTGTAGCATGAGTCTGTCTTATTATTTATAATTGCATGTTTACCTTGTCTTTTCTTCCATCTCTGTATACACACACACACACACCACTAACATCACAAACTCTAGTTTTCAAACTCCTGAGGCAAGGACTGTTTCTAACTCATTCCCAGGGTTGAGAAACATTAAAGAATGTATTTCGAATGGTCACATTTTTTTTGTCAACTCTAAGTAGGAGTGGAGGAAAGAAAGAAGAAAGTTTAGATACTTTTTTTAATAGAGGGGTTGGGGGGGAGTGCCTTAAATTAGATTTAAAGTTCATCTCCACTATAAAGTTGGTTGAAATTAAAACAGGCAACCAAGAGAAATGATAGCTGTCTGTCACTTTAAAAGCTGGATGGGCAGACAGCCACCCATTCTGAATGGTTTGGACATCTGCCTTTTCATTTGTCTGTACAAATGAGTTCCAGTTCTCTGATTCTAGGGTCATGGGAGAGAAACACCGGAGACATCATCACAGGAAAGTGTTAGATAAAGCATTAAAGGCAACCACCAGTGTTTAGTCTTGTTAGATTTAATTAATGTAGTTACATGAGGAAATTCCTTGTCTGATTCTTTCCCCTAATTTGAAACTATTTATATATTATTTGTATAAAATGAAATATGCCTTGGTTTTGTATATTACTATGATAAATGTGGGGAAGTGAATGTATGTAAACTTGCAGATCTCAAATTACAGAATTTCTAAAGCTTAAAAGTAACTCAGTGATAATCTTGATTAGTCATCTCATTTTATAGATGGAAAATCTTAGGCCAAGGAGCACATAATGACTTGCTAGAGTGACAAATGCTTTGCCTGTCATCCTCGGCATCTTGTGCATGTCTCTGTGAGAGCAGTTACCACACAGGACTGTAGTCACTCATTTCCTTCCCCTTCCCTCCGTCATTGCAGCCTCCTTTCCTTTCTTTGAACAAATACTGTGTTCAGTGCGTGTCTCATATGTACCAGACAGTGCAAATGTGGGGTGCGTGAGCCAACAGAGTCACTACCCAGGGAGCTATGGGGAAATACGTGACCAGAAACAGAGAAGTAGGGTGTTTAAATAAACAGGTGGTAGGTAATAAATGCTGTGAACAAAATTAAAGCAGGAAAAGGGGTGGGGGGGGTACCATTTTGGATTATTAGATTGGTCAGGCAAGGCCTCTCTGAAGAGGGGAATTTTGAGAAGAAACCTGAACAAAGTGAAGGAAACAAGTCACGAATATCTGGGGAAAGAATATTCCAGGCAAAAGGTATAGCAAGTGCATGGCCTTGAGATGGGAATGTCCTTGACCTGTTTCGGGAACAGCAAGGAGGCCGTGGTGGCTGTGAAGCAGTGAGCATTGAAGAGAATGGTGCGAAACGAGCTAGGAGAGGGAGGGCGTTGTAGGGCTTTGGGCTCTATACTCGGAGGACGGGTGCTCTTGGAGGCTTCAGAGAAGGGAAGAAGCATGAACTAGATAATGTTTTAAAGGGCCCCTCTGGCTGCTCTATGGAGGGTAGACTAGAGGAGGAGCTAAAGGGAGTCAGGGAGGAGGCAGTTGCAGCGTCCAGGCAAGACGGTGACGGTGCAGTGCAGGGTGGCAGTGATGGGTAAGGAGGGGCGTGGTTGGGTCACAGGTGTGTGACTTCTAAGAGCAGGGACATACGATATCCATGCATAACCCACAGGGCTTGATTCTTAGTAGGCCGATTTTATTGAGTGAGTAAAACCAACAAGCGCGGCCTTCTTGTCACTTTCCCATGTACTGTGGCACGTTGAAAGGTGTCACAGGAGGTCTTCCCTGTCATCCGAACATCACTGGCTGTGGGCCACTTTAGTGTTTCCCAGCCGGGGCCAGCCTGCTTCCCTTGTTAATAGGTTCAGCTCAAGCCAGCTTAGCCTGAGAGGCTAAAATTATCCCAGAAAGACAGCAGCTCAGATAACCAAATCTGAAACTCCCACCCCACCAACTCAGGTTATAAAGCAGTAAGGCCTTACATTTAAGTAGCATTTTATATTTTACTGCATATGTTTCTATAGTCACAGCCACGCTATGAAGAAGTTATTAATGCTTTTCCCATTTTTATACACTGAGACTCAGAGAAGTTAGGTGATTTGTTTATAATAACAGCCAGCAAGTGGCGCATCCCCAAACCAGATATTCCATTCTGGTTCCTTTACTCCTTCAGCCAGGCTCATAAATTTATTTACTGAACAACCCGCTATTGCATATATCGTGCACCGTAGCTAATGGGAATGCTGACATGAACAAGACCCAGTGCTGACCTTGTCAGAGCTTATAGTGTAATGGAGGAATCAGGTAAGAAAATCAGAGATTTTAGTAAGGTGCAGTAGATGTCATAATAGAATTAAGCAATGGATGTATTTCGGGTTTGTCTATGCAATTACTAAAATATAAGGTAAAATAAACACCTCTCCCAATAGTTTAGCAGCTGCCTGAGTGTGTAGTCCATGTTTTTCTATTTTGGGAAGTGGACATGAATTATTTAAAATTGCATGGCAATGTACTAAATTCATTTATTTATTGTTTATTGTTGATAAACATTAAAATGTATACAATGTCTTCTGAAACCTGTAAGATGCCTTACACAGCTTTAGAGTTCCAGCTTCCTAGATGTGATTCTCTAAGCTCAAAATGGTTACATTTATTTCAGGATAATTTAGGTCTTAATTCTGCCTTTGCAGTGGAACTAGGCTTGCTAATGTTGTACAGTTAGAAGAATATGTATGGAAAGATAGGATTTGGTCCCAAAGAACGCCAAACCTTTAGAATTACCCACGTCAGTCAGACCCTTACACTGGAATGTAGGCCATGATAGTCAGAAATAACGACACCACCATATGGAGAGCAGGAAAGCAGAAATACCGCAGGCCTCTGAATTGAAAGATGAATTATTCTTTCTTCCGTGGTCTTCTCTTGCTTAAGTAACTTATTTCTTCTTTTTGAAATATGTGTTTGAACAAGTGAGAAAGTACACCTGTCAAAAGATTAACCAGCTGAGAAGCATTGTCAGCATTAATTTTTCCTTTAATAAATGACTCTCTGAAGCTATTTAGCAGTCTGTAATCTGGATACAAAGCTGTTGACCTATGATGGATAGTGCTGGATTTGTTTGTAAGCTTTGACTTAAATTGTCTGCCTAATTTCTCTAGGTCAGATCAACAGGATTAGAAGTAAGGGTGGTTATGTGGTTGGAATAGAAATGGCTATAGAAATTGAGAAAAATAATTGTAAAACATTAATGATCTACCATGTTGGTGAAGTAAATTAGAAACTAAGAAAATGACAGTCACTGAAACGTCAACATTATCAGAATGGTCAAATGACACAGATTGGCTAATGAAACGCATTTGTTATAATTGGGGTTTTGTACACAGTCAATTCCAAAGTGTGCCCGAAAATATGATAAATAATGTAATTTAACCGTATGTATGAGCCTCTCAGGCTTTCACCACATGTGGGTACTCCCTTTTCCAAAACTGTTTGGCCAACATAATGCTGACTTCTTTGGCTTTTAATAATTAGTTAAAAATAGCATGACCTATAAAATAGAAAGGCCACTTGATTTGGCCATTGCAGAATATTCACAATTCGAATGAAATAAGGCTCTCCTCACTTGGGCTTTTTATGTATGAAAACTGTGTATTTCATTGAATAAATTAAGTTCAGAAGTAGGCCATTACTTGCAGCTGTCTGTTCTAATGGCCAGATTTGATACACAGTGCAGACAATTAGAGTTTCTTTATTCCTAGCTGTACTATAAAATTAGCTGTAAAGGCAAAATTGTACTAATACAGTTCTTCCGCATACTTCCCTGGTTTTGAACAACAAAACCTAACTTGAAACTTATGAATTAAGATTTCTCTAATACTAAAAACAGTAATAATACTCTTGGTTTTATTTTATAGTTAATAAAAATGTAATGAATGAAGCTCCTCTTGGCCCCCTTTTAGGATAGGTCTAGGGCCATATTTTCTGTGCTAAAGCAGAAGTTTCTTTACTCGTTTCCATTAATGAACATGCATCAGACTCTTGTAACAAGATGCTAAGGAGTGGCCAGACCCGTGTTAAAGTTTATTTCTTCTTCCTGCTCATATCACTAGGAGGGAATTACCCAAAAGGTGGAAAGCAGAAGGGAAAGAAAAATCAGCTAATACTGGAAAGTGCACATCAGCGTAATCAGTCTAAATAAGCAACAGTTTTCTTACTGAAGTGTCTACTTGTTTATGGGAGAAAGCCCGTCTCTCTGTAGTTCTCATCTGCAGATAGTATGTGGAGGGCAAGGGGGTGAGCCAGAGACCCCAAACTCAGACTCAGGCAGGCAGCTCCCCTGGCTGCTCCCATGCTGGGCAGGGCACAGGCGACCTTTTTCTTATACTTTCTGTTACTGAATACGTTTATTAAGAGCATAAGAGATGCATAGGAATGACAAAATTCACATTTCACATTTTCATCTCTGTCACTCCATGATTGTCCCAAAATAGTTAAGGTGAACTGAGAGTTTGACTAAATCAGTCTCTTTTGTTTTATGGTTAGCTTATATGATACTTGATTATTAAAATATTCCAGGAGAAATTGAGAGTATCTTGCACATGCCTGACAAATATAATTTGGAAGCAAGATTTTTTCATTTGGTTTGGGGATTGTCTCTAATTTTACTATCCCTTTACCCCAAACCTTTCAGGTGTGGGAGCTGCTCGGTCTGGGAACCTTACATTTATGGTGGGAGGCGTTGAAGAAGAATTTGCTGCTGCCCAAGAGTTGCTGGGCTGCATGGGCTCCAATGTGGTGTACTGTGGCGCTGTTGGGACCGGGCAGGTAACGTTTTCATATTAATAACCCTGACTTGTGATGGAAAATTGGCTAATGCTCAACTCCCATTCCTGACCATGTTCCCATTCCTCCTTACTCTGCTCAGTTGTGTGCATTCTTTGTTTGCTCAAATTTTCTTAAATTAATTTGGAATCAGTGAATTTTCCTTCATTCCTGTTGGAATTAAGCAGACATCAGTCAATTAACTTATTAAAAAGGACATCAAGTTCCATCATCCGCATTTTGATGTATCACCCGAGTGACCCCTGAAATCATCCTTAAAACTGTTTGTGTTCACAGTGCTCATGTTGCCTGAGGAGTCGTTACCCGCCTCCTAGTTTTCTAATTACTTGCTAAGCTCTATTTGCAGTACAGCCAGGTAGGTGTCATTTGTGCACTGAAAACTTTTTCTTCCTACTTCTCCCACTAGGTTCTTACCTAGTGGCAGAGGTGCCACCACCCCAGCCCTGCTCTGGGATAGTGCGTTAGGCTCAAATGGAAGCATGCAGCCCCACTGGAGAGAGGCAGCTGGTGAATGCTCTCACTTTTAGAAAGAAGCATGTGGAACTGGGTGAAGAAAATCTTCCAGTAGTTATAACTTGAAAACAAAGGTATTTAACACTCACTCAATTTCTTTTCAGGCTGCAAAGATCTGCAACAACATGCTGTTAGCTATTAGTATGATTGGAACTGCTGAAGCTATGAATCTTGGAATCAGGTTTGTTGAATAGCACATTTTCACGTACTAACAATTTTTATGAGCTTTCCTATTTGATTTTTTCTGATGTTGAAAAAAAATGTTCATGAAAGATAAACGAGTTGATCCAGGAACATTTGGAAAGTACTTCATTATTGAACTTGAATAGACTGTGCTTATTTGACGACCAGTAGGACCCTGGAGAGCATGAATATTCTTTCATAGCCAGAAACTGTATTGCGCTGTCTAGTCCAAGTCATGTTATCCTCTTTATGTGGAAGCCCCATTTCTTCTATTATGTTGAAATGCAAGAAACACTTTTACTATGAAATTTAAACATGCTTTGGCAGTGTAAGACAAATTTGTATAAAACATGGTTTTACTGTGTAGTGAATTCAAATGTTATGTTACCACGTGACTGGTTTCATGTATGTATTTTAAATATAGTCCCCAAATCTACACTAAAAGGGCTCTTGGTTGCTTAGTTGCTGGATAAACTGGATGGCATACCTCTCAATTGAACTTGCCTGTGGTTTCGTCACTTTCCGTCAAGGATATATCTTTCCATTGAAATAAAATGGCGTTCATACTTTGCTTAAAGTGATTCAGGAATCCTGTGTTTCCTGCAATGACGGTCATCACTTAGAATGCTTAAGGTTAATGTCTTAATTTTAGCCTGTAACTTTTTGGGTTAGGAATGCCACATATGATTAATTACCTAATTAATTTTTTAATGTTTTGATTTCATGACTTTAATAAATATATTGCTTACATTGGAAAATGCTTAAAGAGCAGGATGCTTTATTCAGGTGTTTCTTTCACACTTCCCAAAACTACCTACCAAATATATCACAAATGAGAGTGGTGTTTCACATCACAGCTTTTGATAAAAGCGATAAAAAGAGCCAAAGTACTTGATATATTCTTTAAAACACGGTAATGGATTCGCATTTCCTCTTAATTACCATATCAAGATGCTGTTGTTTTATTGAATTGCCCTTGTCTCAGATGTTAAACTATCTTGACCTATTAAGTTGTCATGTTGTAATTGAGATAAAAGAGGAATTTGCTTTGCATCAGTGCTAATTGGTTTATCAATATCCTGAACCATTTACATTTTAAAATTGAATGTCTGTAAGATGGGAAACTTAGCATATCCATACAAAGCTTTACTAAAACTGGTATTGTATATAGGAAGCTATTCATTGTTATCTCTGTACTGTAGCCAGTTTTAGGCTATGGGTCACTTATCATAATTGAAAAACTGGTTATTAGTAACTTGTTTACATGTCCATCCTCTAGACTAATTTCACTGAGGAAGAAAATATAAATTTCTGGAACCAAAGGTGTATACAGAATTAATTGGTGTTGACAGTAGGATTAGAGCATTAGTATGCATGTGCATCTCTAGAATTTTATCTTCATTTTTCCGGATATAAATGAAAATAGTAAAAAAGTAAAAGCCTGGATGAGCCTGGGATATACTGTACTGAATTTCCCTCTTTATCTGTGCCTGTTATTTACATTCTGCTTCTTTCCTTGAGCATCACTGGGTCAGGATGTTCCTTAGGCATAGTGATGTAGCCTATGGCATTCCTCAAATAATTCTCCCAGCAAAACTCTTACTAGATGATCATTTGCGATTCTCAAGTGAAGCTTTTGTATGGTAAGTGCTTGTGGAGGTTCAACTCCAAATACCAGCTAATAAACAATAGTATGGCCTGGCTGGTGTGGCTCAGTTGGTTGGAGCGTCATCCCCTGCACCAAAAGGTGGTGGGTGTGATTCCCAGTCAGGGCACATACCCAGGTTCTGGGTTTGATCCCCACTCGGGGCACGTACTGGAGGCAACCAGTGGCTGTTTCACTCTCACATCGATGTTTCTCTCTCTCCCTTCCTCTTTCTCTCTAGTAATAATAATAGTATGAAGATCAGCTACCAGAGTGTTTTATGAAAGAAAAAATGAAAAGTGATAGAATTCAAAATAGAAATGTTAAAAGCAGAAGCAATAAATAGATTTTCTCTTCTCATTGGCTTTGATCCACTATGATAAAAACAATATTTGGAAATATGGAACTTTTAATGTTTAATTTTTTCCAAAACTCTATATACATTACTGCTCCTGATATGTTTGTGTACATAATATTTATATATGTATGTGTGTGTGTGTGTGTGTGTGTATGTATATATCACACATACATACATACAAACAAACATGTTTGAACACAAAGCAGGAACTCACTGGTTTTACTGAACTGTTACAGTGATCTATATGTTTCTGGTGCTTCAGAATGTATTAATGAATTGCTTATTTTCATAACATTAGGATTTTATCAGTTTGTCTTACAAGGATTCTCAGTGGTTTGAAAGTCCTAAAAATGATTGCTTCTGCTATTGTCTTTTCTCCATGGTTTACAGACATGGTTTAAAATGACAGGATTGCTCTCTAATAGAGTATAGAGAGTGGCCACGATTTATTGAGCTTTGCAAGGTGAAAGAGAAAATTGGCATCAGCAAGCATAAATTCCCAAGTAGTAAATTCCCACAAAGTAGTGCAGCATCAAAGTGGTTCAGCCACATTTATATTCCGTTCACTCCAAAGTGAAATTTTTTTTAGAACATTAATGTCAACATTTACAAATTGAGCCACCTATTCCTATGAAGTGATCATTTCTGATTAATTTCATTCTCATAAGTCAGTGTTTTTCCTGAACTCTGATGTTTCCTTTAAAAAAAATAAAAGAAAATCTTACAGTTAAAAACTCTTATTGACTCTATGGTTTTTTATAGTGAATGTTTATGGATGTTAGTGAAAGTTTAAAATGCTATAAAAAAGTAAACCATAAAAAATATTGGTATACAACGTATTTTGGGATTCTTTTTATTAGACCTTTCTACCTTCTGATTGGGTTCTAGTTGGGACTCAGTTTTACAGCACTCACAGTGCCCTGCTTGCATTAGAGGGCTTTTGTTCCTGTGCTTCGTGTAGGTACAGTGTTGATAATGTGAGTTGTGTTGTTTTGTTTTTATTTTTGCTCCACCGGGAGTTGTTTTTTTTGTTTTTTATTGTTTTCAATAGTGGTGGTAGAAGAAATTATTTCCATTACCAACCAGGGCCCAGGCCCCTCCAGCAACAACCATACTGTCTTCTTCCACCAAAAGCTTAACAGTTGAACTTCTGGAAGGCTGTTCAAGATGAAAACTTTACCACAAGCATAATTTTCGTTTCTGGGCTCCTACCTTTAGAAAATGTTGCCTGGGTTTTTTGGGATTTTTTTGGTGATGACTGAAGCCTTAAGCGTATACCCCTAGTAGATTTAACAAATGGAAAAACGTTTATAATAAGAGTTTGACCCAGTTTCTTGATAAGCTGGTAAAGTGCCATCAGATTGACTGATTGGCTCTCAAGTTCACTCCCCACATGACCCAGTGAGACTCAGGACGGTGAGAGTTTGGGTGTCTGTCTCTGTCTGCATTTCTGCTCTGCCATAGACATAAGCTTTTCTCATCTATAAAATGACAAAAATAATAGTACCTATCCATAGGATTGTTATGAAGATTAAATGAGTTCATCCATGTAAACCTTTTAAAACAGGTCCTGGCGCATAGTAGGTGCTCACTCAGTACATGGTGGTGATTGATGTGGTGGTTAGTGTTTGGATTGAACGTGCTTGAATGCTTTTTCTTCATGACCCTTCTCACTAGCTGGTGTTATATGTTTGTTTGTTTATTGCATTTTCCCAACTAGAATGCAGGCTCCCTGAAGGGGGATGGCTTTATCTGCTCCTTGCCATATCTTAAGAACATACTTAGCACATAGTAGGTACTCAGTGAAGATTTGTGAAGTGGATGAAGAGAGAAAAGGGGGGGGCACTTCTGCCTCAGGTTAAAGGTGTCTGGGTGTGTGTGAACCGGCCCACTCCTGGAGGGCAGTCGCAGCCCTTAGCTCCTTTACTCTGGCCTCCTTGCTCTGGGCACAGCACCTGCGCATGGCATATCTGCAAGCGGTAGGTGACTCACTGAAGGAATGATTGACTAAGACTGACATGGTCTTGGATGTTTCATTCTAGAGCAGTTTTAGTGAAATCATTTGCTTTGTTCTTACATAAAACCAAACAGTATAGGTAGATATAGAGAATATAAAGTGAACAAACTTATTTGACCCTTAAAAGCCTTGGGTACAGTGAAGGTAAATGTTTGGATTCTTTCTTTTTTTTTTTTTTTACAATTTCTGCATTTTCACTTCTCCTAATAGTTCATTTAAAATTCTTGTATTTCAAAGGTGAGTAGATTTGACACAGTGACGTTTATTTGAGTTGCATTATATATGCAGTTGGAGCAATGAATTCATTCTGTTTATATCAGAGAACATTCCAGCAATCGTAAAGCCACATGCATGCACGCGTGCACTCTCGAACCACATCTAGTGGCAAGTTATTATGGGGACTGACAGACTGTCATCCTTTTGATGGCTTGAGCTGTATATCTCCTGAACAGCAATGGGGCTCTTATGCAGAAAGTATCATATGTTCCCAGCCAATTTACAGGGAAACAGCAATAACATTTTATCATGGTTGAGAGCCCAGTAGCTGCTTCCTATTAAACTTGCCCTTTCAGATACCTGTCTTGGATTAATTTGTTGATTTCAGATGGAAACTCAGTCTTCTCCAGTGAAGCATGACGTTCTAGGGTAGACTCTCTGAATGACAATTACTGTGTATTCTAGCTGGTTTCAGGCCGTTACAAGCCTTGGGCACAGTGGAAGACAGAGGACTCCGGTAACTGATTTTAATATCATATCTAATTTTAACTGTCAGTTATATATGTGCCAGTGAAAAAATCTCCAGGAAGATGAAACGCAAAACACTTCTAACTTGCTCTTTTTAATGATGGGGGTGGGGAGGGCTGGAGGAAAGCGGAGAGGGAGTCGCCTTCTCCAAAAGGGAATCAGCATGGTGGGGGCAGCAGATTGAAAAGTGGGCATGTAGCAACTGCCGCCACATTTCTTCATGTGCCCCTCAGGATGCTTCTAAATAGTAATGTGTTCACCGAAAAGGATTCCATAAATTAGTGGTGGTATTTTTCCTGGAACACTCAAGAGAAATGAAATTTAGGGTAATAAGCATTGGTGACCATTTTGATGAGTATTACAGACAGGGTGTGAATTTCTTTAGCAATGAAGACTGTTGTGAGGTACTATTAAGTATCACCTGGTGGATTATAAAGGGGAACAGCTCTGCTGCTTTCAATGTGATAAACCACTTTAAAAGAATCTAAATTAGGAAGCCCCTAAATTATATTCCAAATGGAAAGGAAAGGTGATGTTTTGGTGTCTTTAAAAATATTTCTGCTCACGGAACACGTTAGACATATACATTCTTGAACATTTGAACTTAGAGAACATATTGGCAGTTGCAGCAAAGTAACTCATTGTTAATTTGTGATTTTACTTTTCACATTCTTCCCTAAGCACGTTGGCTTTTTCTTTTCCTAAGTCATCTGCTACAGCAGCATACCCGTAGCCTAATTTTATTTAAAAGGGGAAAGGAAGCATCAGTAGCAAACTATTCATGTAACAAACTTGGATCCTTATAAAGGAATGAATGAAACTGTTGGGTTTCTTCCCAGCAATGTAAAGTTTGGTAGAATGTGTGAGAGCCCATTTAGATTGGGTCTTTTATATCTTGTACAATCATTAGGAAAAACCTCTCCTTATAACATGACCCACCATGTGAATTCATGTACATGGCATGCCATGTAGTATTACATGCACATCCTGGCTATTAGCCTGAGCCCCCTGTACTAACATTGGCAAAATATTTACTGGTCATGATACTCAGATTTGGAAATAAGCAGACATATATTTTGAACACACTAAGTAAACAAGAACTTAAACATGCCAAAATGCAGTTTAACATTCATATGTGTCTCTTTTCAATCTTTTTTTATTCTAGAAGAGACTGGTTTTAAGGAAAAGCAGCATGTTTTATTTGAAACTTGATTTAGTGATACTTAGCAAAACTGGGCTTCCCAAGCTGCATTCGGAGACTTAGGATCAAAGTAATACAGCTTTTGATTCTATTTTTTTCTGGGTCCATATTGAACAGTCGTTTATGCCATCGGTTCAGTGATAGAACAAATGATGTTTCCGCTTGGGCAAGCTTTGTTTTATCAGGATCAGTAACCTTATCAGCAGCTGACCCAGAACTATAATGCATGTCTCCCAATAGATAGCATATGTCACCACTCTGTGCAGACTTGCTTCATAAGCAAGATTGTCTGATGAAGATTTAATAAATAAGGAAAAGTTTGCAGCAAGAAATGTCTTCTTTTATAATGATAACTTCGCTTAAGCTCATTTACTGCTCATGGCTCACCTCTTGCATTTATTCTCAGAAAAGCTAAAAGACTGAACAGACATGAAAATGCATCCACACAGACTCCCATGATGCATAGTTTATCTGTCAGTATTTCTTTCTGAAATATATCATTTGTGAATAAAGAATGTAGACTTTACATGATCATATTGGTTTAAGGTTCTTATGTGACATGTAAATGCATAATGTCCAGAAGAGAAAGGCATTTCTTTTTGCATAGAAAATCCACGTGTGATAAACCAACGACACTTTTATGCAATTATGTTATTTCTTAAAAGTAGGATAGTGCAGAAGGTTTTCTCTCATTGCAGAATGTCTGGTTCAGAATGGTTTAATCACTAGCTTTTAATACCTTATAATTTAAGATTGGATTCTTCGCTCTCATCAATCTGCTTTGATTTTTGAAGACATAAAATAAATGGAGAGAGAAGACATAGCATCCTCACAGGTAAATAAGTCACGCATGACTTGTACATTTTGACATTTAACACTTCTTTTCTTTGACCTTTGACAGGTTAGGGCTTGACCCAAAACTATTGGCTAAAATCCTAAACATGAGTTCAGGACGGTGTTGGTCAAGTGACACTTACAATCCTGTACCTGGGGTGATGGATGGAGTTCCCTCGGCTAATAACTATCAGGGTGGATTCGGAACAACACTCATGGCTAAGGTATGGTAAATGCAAAGGCTTCCCAAGAGAAGGGGGGAGAATGTATAACGGTCTAATTCTCCTTCCGTCCTTTCCTCTCTCTTTCCCTCTCTCCTTCTCTTCTTTCCTCCCTCCCTCCCCACTACCTCCACTTTTAACAAAGCATATAGACATAGAAGGCAAAATCCTAGAGGGCAAAATTACTAAAACAATGATTCACTTACTGGAAATGAGTTAAAACTTAGATAAAAAGCCTTATTTATTTTTATTCCTAGACTTTCAGATGAGAAGAAGGGGCTGGGATTTTTCCTTTGTGCTTGGGTTTGTTTATAATATGAGCTGGTAAAATTTTGGTCTTCATCATAAATTTACATTAATTTACAAAGTCCTTAGAAAGGAAGCAGTTAAGAATTTTCTGATGGTTGATAATACATTGGCATTGGATAGACACACCACGAGAGAAGAGTTCTTTCTCATGATACTAGATGTCTGAATACATCGTCCTGGCTTAAGAATATATATGTATTTATGCATAAAGTCATTTGAAAAGCAAACTGTTGATGTCCTCTCATTTGTGATCTCAACTTTAGGAAATACTTAACAGATGAACAGACTTTCAGAGTTCTGCATAGAGCTTATACACCCCTCCCCCAATTGACTTTTCCCCTGTGATTACAAAAGTAACAGTGCATACCCCTGGATACCATACTCAGCTTTCTCTCCTTCATTCCCCGTGACGTTCTGTCCATTTTGCTTGTTGACGATGCCTTGAGTTCATCCATCCCCCAGCTCTCCAGAGAACTCGCAGCCTCCCTAGCATTCAGATCTTAGGTCAAGTGTCTCCGCCTTGGGGGGGTCTTACTTAGACATTTCATCCATCAGAATTCCTCCCCCCACCTCACCCCCTTGCTACCATCACTTTCTAACCCCCCCGCCCTGCTTTCTCTTCACAACACTTGTCATTATCTGGAATTTTAGTATTTGTTTTCTTGTCTATCTTCCCCCTGGACAGTAAGCATGAGAACAGTGACATGCTATCACCAGCACTTAGAACAGTGGCCAGCACACAGCAGCCCCTAAATATTTGTTGAGTAAGAGATTGAATGGATATTCAATAATTCCATCATGGGGTTTGGCTTAGGCATACGGGCTTCTGCAGATCTGAAACAGCATGTGCCTGTGTGATGTCACCTGTTGAGTAGCCCTATGCAAAGTCAAAATAAAACAAATAGGTTTGGTGGAGGGTGGAGGAGTGGAGAGGACACTCAGAACTATCAGTTTCTGTCTGGAGCAGTGGTGCAGCAGTGCGCATATATATATATATGTATGTATGTACACATATATATATATATATGTATAAAATTTACCATAGTGCTTTTCAGTATCTTTTTTTCAGACTTCATTTTTTCTTCTTTGAAACCACACCATTGGGAATCACAGTTCCAAAGCGAGTCTCCCTACCACCTTCAATGTGTTCCTCCTGCCCTTGTTTGCTTTAGGATCTGGGATTAGCACAAGACTCTGCTACCAGCACGAAGAGCCCAATCCTCTTGGGCAGCCAAGCCCATCAGATCTACAGGCTGATGTGTGCAAAGGGCTACTCGAAGAAGGACTTCTCATCCGTGTTCCAGTTCCTGCGAGAGGAGGAGACCTTCTGAGTTGGTTTTTCAGCCATGGACACTGTTGGAAACCAAACTCTATCTTGGAGCCTCCTTACAGCTCACTCCATAAGTAAATCTAATCAAAGGTCACCCGTCTGCTTTTGATTGTCTAGGTCACAGTTAAATGGGTTTTTCACCCATTTTTTACTGCTTATTTTTATCTCTTTAGCAGACATACATTACCTGAATTTTTTCCCGCAAGCCCCCGATGGTCCCTGTTAACTAGCAGATTGATCTTTTTCAAAAGTTTGATCCTTGAGCATCTTCAGCTAAATCGTTGATGACTTCAATCAGGATATTATTTAGGCCACTTTACAAGTAAAACCAAATATTTTTCAGCAGGATAAAACAGATACTAAAGGAAAAAAGAAATCGGTGTGAGAAAAGGAATTAGAGGAAGGGGAAATACAGTGAATTACTACCTGTGTCCCTCAGGAAGTTTGCCCTGTAAACCCAGTGGTGGTATCCTTGCATTACTTACTGAGTTATTTTCAGGGAATTGATAAAGCAAGAGAACTCTTTGCCATAGGTTTTATAATTTGGACTCTGTTACAGTATCTTGGTGTGTCCCTCTTGTAACAATTCCCAGTACTCAGCAAACTTGTTTTTTATATTTTCCCTTCCTTGTACATTCTTACTACATATTTTTGACTTCAAAAGAATGACATCTTTAGACCTGTTTCAGAGCCAATGATGATATTTGCTTTAGATAATTATTATAGTATTATAAATAGAACCATATTATTTTGAAATCAAATAAATTTCTATGCTGATAATACTTTCTGGGAGTTTTTGTGTCTTCCCAGCCCTTTCGTGAATAGTCAGACGGCCTGGTGGACGGTGATGTAGACAGGCTGGGCAAGGATGTGAAGGAGGAGAGGGAATTGGCCAGTGGCAAGCCAGCACTGCCGCCCTACCTCAGCCCTTCGCCACATTGGTTTGAATGTTTTCTGGGCTGCGGTTGCTATAGAAACTCAGCTGCATTAATGTAATACTTTCCAGTGTGGAGCACAGTTGCGACTTTCCCCACTGCAACCCCCAGAAGTATCCCAGGTGATAAACCTGGACACCAAACTTGGCAGAAGTACAACTTCCATCGTTTTCCTGGTAATGAAAAATTCCAGGCGCTGTAGGAAGTCCTGGCTACAGTGATGAACAAAACTACAAAATCCTGCCCCTGTAGTCCATAAATTCTGCTGTCTCACGTGTGTGCAAGGGGGTGTGACAGTGCAAGGACAGCTCCCAAGAGAATTACCTGTCCCCAGTGTCCATGATGCAGTTTGAGAAACCCTGCTCAGGTGTATCTTCCACAGGTACCTCCAACTTGGCGTAGGAAAACCTGAGCTCCCCATCCGGCCCTGCAGACCTGCCCCTCCTGGTCCCTGGCCCTGACCCCTTCCTCTCCAGCCATTCTCCATAGTGAATTCTAAATCTCCAGCACCTTCCTCAGGCCCTCAGCCGCTCCTGTCTAGGATACGTCAGTCTCTGCAGTTGCTTCTCTCTTTCTGAGTGCTTCACTGGGGTGTAATTTACATACAATAAAATTTGCTCTCATTAAATGTACAATTCAGTGACTTTTAGCAAATTTACAGTTGCACAGTCATCACCAAAATCCATTTTCAGAGCGTTTCCATCACCCCCCTTCACCCTGCAAAGTCTCTTGTGCCCATTTACACTCTCCGTTCTCTCTCCCCCGACCCCGCAGCTGTGGGCGCCCATCAATCCTTTCCCTATAGTTTCGCAGCTGCTTCTTAGCCACAGATTTGGTTCCTTCCCAATTCATCCCTCACTCACTAGTTCGAGAGGTCTTTCTAAGACTGAAATCCAACCCAGTGACTCCCCTGCATAAAATCTTGGCCTTGGAGGCAGTCTGACTCCTCAGCATGCTGTTCAGGCCCTCTGCGCTCTGGCTCCTATTTTACTTCACCAGCACCTGTCATTTCCCAAGCTTGCCTGCTTTGCACACCTCAGTCCCTTTGCACACGACGCTTCCTTCACCTGCGATGCCCTTCTTTTCTCCTGGCTGACCAGCTCAGGCACCGTATCTTCTGCAGCGCCTTCCGCAGCCGCCTTGGGCTGAGTCGCTTCCCCTCTGCCTCCATAGCTCTTTGTTGTTTCTGTATCATAGGACTTATCCTGTTGCATTATATCTGCTAGTTTGTCCATCTGCCTTCCACGCCAGACTGAGCTCTGACAGCACCTGGCGCTGAGTAAGGGCTCAGTCAGTGTGTGAATGACTGAGGGATTGGAAGCCAGGACACTGGGTTTGTGTTAGGTGAAGTACTAATGGCATAAACTTGTTTCTTAGAGACTCTTCCTCGGCAGATCAAGTGTCTTTTACTCTGAGTTGTAAATGATGCACAGCTGCCCAAGAAGTCTGGCAGAATGCGGGTCTTTTCCAAAGTTTTCTTAGTCAAAGGGTGAGCTTATGTTGTTTGACTGAAGAAACTCATGGGGAAAAATAGGCATTTTTGGTAGCAAGCTTTTGTCTCATTTTTTATGTACTTTAAACATCACCTTGCATGCAGATAAACACGCACACATTTCCCTTCACCCGGCACGGCAGTTCCAAATGCATCTTTCATAACATGCTACGCAGATCTTGAGCCGTAAGGTGACTCTTGTACGTAACACAGGTGTGATTTATTCAGGGGGTTCTGGGGGGAGTTCGGCGTCTGAGAGAGTCTCCTGCTGTTCTCTTGATCTGACATCATCATACCGGAGCTTATCGCAGCCACAGCTAAGTCCAAATTTAGGTGAACCCCACACTGCACGGGGCCTCCTCCTCAGCCATCTTTCTCATTGCACAGGGTTGATCTTGACTTTTATGCTAAGCAATCAGAAATGTGTGTGACCCCCCACTTCCCACGGGGAGTGGGGAGAAGGGCGGATCTGAGCAGCCCTAGCCACGAGCATAAATTCTACCAGGGCTACTGTCAGAGGCCTGCTGCTCAGGAAAACCACGCGTTACTCCCGGCCTCAGCTGCGGTAGCCGTACCCCTGAGCGCTCTCAAATGGCCGGCCCGTGGGGAGTCATCTGCCCGAGTGGGGTTTTTAGCCGTCTTTCAGTTCAATTGGAGAGGGAGCTTAAGGACATCATAGAGATTTGTAACGTTCCGTGCAAGGTGTCAGACCCATAAACTAGCGTGTCCATCGCGGCGATGCGCACAAGGGATCGCCTCTCGGTGGTGGCAGAGAGATTGAAGATGACCTTTTACTATGTACTTGTTTTCATTTAATAATTCAAGAATAGCTAAAAGGGATGCAGGCCTCTTTATTCGACTGGAATGGGACTCTTTCGGAACATTAATAGGGAAATACAGGAAAGCAGAGGCGCTTTGCCACCAGCCTGCAGGGAGGGCTTTCGAGGGCCTTGGTTACCAGAACCCTCCCTGGCGTTCCAGCCCTCGGTCAGCACTAACCTGTGGGGGCGGCATCGTGGCTCACTTTCCTTCTCTTTAAAATGAGGGCATTGCGCTGATCTCCAAGGTTTATTTTAGCTCTAAAATTTGCTTCCTCTTAGTTAAGGGTTTAAGAAAATGGGAAGCATGCGCTTTTGACAGTTTCTGGACTCTCTCTGGTTAGGTATTATTTATTGCTCAGATAGCCATCTCATTTATTAGGGTGTTTTTTTTTTTCTTTTATAGCCGGGAATAGATTCAGAGATCAATACGTTTTTATTAATGATAGTCCGTCATGCCGGGTAAAGAGATGGCAAGAGAGCTCATCTAGAATGAGCCACTTGAATAAACCTGACACACTAGCTTAGCTACGCGCTGCATTTTGGCAGGCCTCGCAGTAAAATAATGACATTGGCAGAGTGAGCGACTGTGGAAACCATCCTCACAGCCAGACTCATAAAATCAAAGGGCAGGTTTGGGGTGTGTTTCTCAGCCTTGGCTGTATATGCAAATCCCATGACTTTTTGAATGTAGCATTTTATCTTCAAAAGGACAAATTTTGGCATTTGCCGCAGTCATTAAAAATGATAAATGCCTAAAATGCTTTCGAGTTGGGATTCTTGTAGGTTAGAACAAATATTGTTTCAGTACCGAACAGGATCTTAGGGCAGAAAACTTCTGGTTGATGCTGTCAATTCAGAGAAATAAAAAATCCTTCAGTAGTTTCCCTTTAAGTCGTATGAAATTGGGCATAATTGTTACCAGTTCTCCTTATAAAAATGAGTGGGCCGTTTGGAAGTGAATTACTCTCCTGACACCATTAAGAGATAGCCTTGTGCCCTGAAAGAGTTAATTTGCCTCCAGATGGAGCTTTTTCAGCCCTTCCCAGCAGCGTTCAGATGATGTCAAGTTCACTATTTTACATTTGTGCCTGTTGAACTTAATTTTCTTTCCATGTATGGATGGAATTTTAAATATTCTACGGTAATTTTAGACTACTTGAGGTCTTTTCCAGAAATTTTACCTTTAGCGTTCCAATCTCAGAGACCCTAAGAGCAACTGTAGCTTTAATCCCTGTGTCTCCCCACCTCTTAATGACCTTAACCCTGACCCCAGGCCTGCTCTCTGTAAGTGCCAAACATGATTCATTCTCCTTGCTTGGTTTAGTTTTGTGTCTTTAATGAGCCAAGATGACCACGGAGACCTGATAGCTTATTTGTGCTAATGTAGTATGCTCTACTAGTTAGCTCCTAACTCATCTATTTGGCCTTCCCTTCTGCCTAGAATTGAACCTTTGTCTCAGAGACAAAGGACATGCAAACAGTTAACATGAACCAGCCAGTCTGGAGACACACCACACAAGGATGAAAGATAAAGCACACTGCTAGAGAGGGAGAGAGAGTCTACATTCTGTGCCTCAACTGCCTTATATAGTGCGAATGCTCATTAAGAATACATTTTATTACGTGGTTACAGGCCTAATGCTCAGAGCTATTGTCGTCTTCTGAGTTTTAGGAGTCATGTCTCCAGGTTAAGATTTCCTGTGCTTGGACCTTGTGGTCTGAATGTCTATTTCTCCAGCCTCTGGAAGGTAACTTCTGATACTGTTTATGTGGGCAGGGATGCTTTTTTGACTTGGTACTTAATACATATCATCTGATTTTTTTATTTTTTTTTCAAAGTCACAGTGGCAGAACTGGGCCATCAAGGACACTTAGCCGGTGATAAGCAGAAAGAGACTTAGAAGATTTATGATAGGTGTCATTCCCCTGTCGTCTCTGGCTTACCACTTTCAGCCCAATCTACTTGGGGTTGGTGGGGGTCTGACCATGAGGTTCTGACAAATGTGTTTGTGTCCCTGGGAATTTATTCTTGCTTCAGTGTCAGAAAACCCCACACACTATTAAAAACTGATATGGCTTTGACCAGTGGCTTGATCCTTGATGGTGGCCTTTCCTGGCCATCCCATTTAATTTCTGGCTGGCCCAACTGGGGATATTAAAAGCTGCCCCTTCTGAGGTTGGATGTTCCTGCCCCGCGCTGTGCTCACGAGTGTAGTCTGGCTCCCTTTATAGGTCAGTGACACCCTCAAACTTGTATGCCTGTGTCACCACAAATCTTAGCAGATGCAGTTCTCTTGGCAGCTTCATCCTCTTAAGATGAATTGGGGGTGGGAATGGATGATGGGGCTCTAATCTCGGGTGAGGACCAGGGAGAGCAGACGCCTCTGTCGTCCGGCACACAGGCCCCCCCGCCCCCCGGGAGACTGCCGGCGGAGGGCTCTGGAAGGATTCAGTCAGCGTTATTAGTCACATGCTGGGATTCCTGTTTTTATCTTTGTTTTTTAAACAATCTGCTTGATCTCTTCTGAAAATAC